TTTTTAAATACTAATTACCTCCAAATTAGTTACTTGTCTTATAGATAAGTTTTAAGTGCAGTTGTACATTGACTTTTCATATATTGTTTTAGAGTAACTTTAGATTAGTAGTTACTATATAAGAATAAAATAAAATACATATCAAATAAGAATTTGTAATGCCTTATTTCATCTTTTTATTTACTAATCTCATTGTTAAACACTTCTACAGTATTGTATAATTCATTTAATTTTTTTTTTTTCAGATTCTATGATCTCTATTTCGTAGTAAATTATAACATTAATTTATATTTTGTTAAATAAATATATCTCTTCTGGTGTTTTTATCAATACTTGGAAATTTCTTCAAAGAAAAATATATGTTTTGTCCTTAGGTATCAATGAATGCCCTGAACACACACACACACACACACACACACACACACAGTGAGTAATAATAATCAAAGTGTAATTTTTTAAACAACATAGATACTGAGAGGATGCTTACTTAGCCTATAAATGAGTAACAGATAGTTTTACTTTGAAATTGACAAGGAACATAATCCATAAGAAGTTATAGAATTAATTTATAAAAATGTTACCTTTGTTTACTACAGGTGATTATCTCCTTTTCCATAAGAACAGGTTTATTTTTGTTAAGCATAGTATGTATATTTGATGAATATGATGTAAATATATAATCTGATGGACTCTGTGAATAATTTCTTGTCACCTGTTTTATTTCGTAATTTTTCTTGTACAGGTAGCTCCATTAAAATGTCTCATATGCGTCAAAAGTAGGACACCTAGAAGATGTTGGCAGTGTAATTACCTAGTACATCATAAGTGATCCAATTTTGGCACAGCTGAAGATTACTTCAGTTTTGAATTAATCTGAATGACCCCAGCTTTATTGCTGTTGAGTTTCTAGAAATGATAAAGTGTCAAGTCATTGGAAATAAAACGACATAGCCTAAACAATCTGACATGACTAATGTATAATTTCTCTGACTTGTTCTCTATTCTATAGAGTTCTTTACCAACTACAATATTTTATTGAGAAATTCTTATCTTAATAAATGTGTCTTCCGCTTTACTAAAATATATTTCTGCTACGTAAAGAACAGAAAATGCAATGCTCTGTATATGTGTGTCTTATGTACACCAAAACCTCAAAGTATAAAAAACAATATGGGTGGCGAATCACTGTTTAATTTCTATTGTATCTTAATTTTGGTTGGGCATGTTATTGGAATGTTATTGAGTCAATCATTTTTTGAACGACACTACTATTTCAATTTATCATGTTTTCCAATGCCATTAGATAATTATGAAATTTTTCAGGCATGTTATATGCTCAGAACTTTTCAAAAAATCGCTATTGAATTTATACTGGTAAAGTACTACAAAAAATACCTGTCTTTACATTTACTGTGATTGGCCTCATAAAATGTGGTTTCATGCCCTGGCTAGTTTGGCTAAGCAGTTAGAACGTTGGCCTTTGGACCAAAGGGTCTGGGGATTAATTCCTGGTAAGAGGCACAGACCTGGGTTACAGACTCCATTCCCCACCCTGGTCAGGGTCCTGCGGGAGGCAACCGATCAATGTGTCTCTCTCACTTTGATAGTTCTCTCTCTTTCTCTCTCTCTCCCTCTCTTCCACTCTTTGTGACATAATCAATGGAAAAATATCCTTGGATGAGGATTAACAACAACAAAAATGTGCTTTCATAAAACATAAACCTCATATATCAGCATATTGTCTTAAAAAGTGGGGGACACTTTTCATTTGTAGTGTGGATTATCTGATGTTCTTTTGGTTACATTTCAGATGTTACAAATTCTTTTTACATTGGAGGGTCTCAATTGGGACTGAACTGTTCACCTTCATGAACCATAATCCCCAAATGATGACACCAGATGAAATTATTTCCCTTTAATTTTTTTATTCTTTTATTTTTGCTTTTAAATGTTCAAATGGAAAGCTAACTCATAAAACTAATATGTAACTTGAAGTTGTTCCCCTTAATCAGATAGAGTAAACAGAAATATCCAATTTTTTTAAAAGTTAGATGCCCATATTTTTCTAAAGATTCCATTTCAACTCCCACACCCCACTCCGCTCCTTCCCTGGTGGGGCACCACCATCACCACCCTGTACTGCTGGTGGCCAGGTTTGAAATCTGGAATCCATTGCACCTGACAGCTCTCTCTCTCTCTCTACTCTCTACCTGCCAGCTATGTCCTTGATGATTATTTTGTCTAACCTTCCTTACTATGTAGTGTTAGAGAGGGATTTACAGTACCTTATTCAACATGGACATCCATTGCTCTATTAGGAAAATTCAAGACTTTCTCTATTATTAATGTACCTTAAGACTGGACCATGACAAATCATACTATTGATTCAAGGTTTACAATGTTTCTTTGGGTCCTTTATCACCATCAAACTGAGAGGCAAAGGATGTGGAGACATTTCTGATACTTTTATTTAATGGACATTTAAAAAGGGAGAGCCCTGGCCGGTTTGGCTCAATGGTTGGGCATCGGCCCACAGATCAGTCGAGGTTGATTCCTGGGCAAGGGCCTCGGTTGTGGGTTTGATGCCCAGCCCTGGTCAGGGTCATGTGGGAGGCGGCCAATGAATGTGTCTCTCTCTTATCAATCTTTCTCTTTTATACTCTCTCCTGCTCCTCCCTATCATTCTATCTGAAAAATCAGTAAAAAAAATACCCTCAGGTAAGGATTAAAAAAAAAAATAAAAAGGAAGGAAAAAGAAACAGAAAAAGAAAAAGAACTCACATATCTATGCCTTGTTTTCTTTTCTTTGGAATTTGTCCCTGAGAAGTTAAGTACAACTCTAAATAACACTGGCACACACTTTCTTGGAACATTAAACAGGAACTCAGGCATCCTCATACTTGTTAATATCTCAGGATTGCTTCAATAGAATCAGGGTTTAATATTATAGATTAAAATATTTTTATGATTCTGGTATATTCTATTGGGAAACACATGCTCTATAGAAAATTGGTTGCAAAAGTTACATTAAGTCCTACTTATGTGATCACAGCTATTGGAACTCAGATAAATTCCCTTTGAATATCTATCTTTAGTCTTCTTGTAAACAGTGTAAAACATAATTTTATTTTTTCTCTTTGCTCTGGTTGCCTCCAGTTCACAACTAGTGTTATTCCCAAACATTGAGCATGTCTATATGACAGCCATTGTGTTAAGTGTTTAAGGAATTAAACCTAGTAAAATCTAATTCTAGCCTATGAGAAGTTGCTAGTTTGATTAATATGACTTCTTAAATCAAAGTGACTTCATAATGTTTATAATAACTCTTTATAATTGCCACTTGGAGTATTTTTATCTATCTATAATTGTTTCTTAAATTTGTTCTTAATATTCCTCTGCAGACAGGTATACTACTAATTAATTATTTAATTAATTAGTTAAAGAAGTATTTTATACCACTGTAAAATGCACATTCTGTCTTTTACATGGAAGCAAAGAAGTTTTAGGTAAACATTTTGTTCTCTTAAGACTAAATATATTACATGTCCCACTGAGGTAATGTCTACTGAATGTAAATAAGACTAATTTTAACATTATAAGAGCAAATGGTGGATATATTTTTTTGAGGGGAAGGAGAAGGGCAGATGGCATAATTTAAGGGCTAGCAGAGTTCATGAAATTACCAAATATTTAAACTGACTGTGAAAGAACTGTGAGGACTCTAAAAATAATTGGGGGGGGGGGGTTATTTGGCAGACTCTCTATAAAATAGTGATTGACTTTTTTCTCAAACCTCTTGAAGCCAGTATATGTTACATTGTTATGTGTAGTTTGTTGAATAAACTTCACTTTTCACAAACCAATTAAACACATCCTAATTTCATATTTATGCATATAACCAAATGTCCCCAAATAAATTAATTACATTGGTTGTTTTATCCATGGGAAGTGTAATCCAAAATTCTTTAATAGAGATTTAAATTAAAAAGTCAACATCAAAATGTGAACTTTGTATTTTTGCTTTTAGTTTTGCCTTTGCATTTTTATGTCCTCCAATTTTTTAAAATTTTAATTATAACACACTGCCATTTCATTCATTAATATCTTTGATGATATGTCAGTAAAATAGCTTATTATCATATCTTTTTCTTTGTTATACTTTAAAATTTTTGAAAACTCTTTTAAACTATGTATATGTTTTTATTTTTGTAAGATATAACTTTTTATGATTCTGGTATATTTTATTAGAGATTTTTCTAGGGTTTTCTCACTCACTATGGTCAATAGTAATGTCAGTGCTCCACCTGGTGGTTAAAGAATAAGCATTTTATTATTTTTAATTCTAAAAATATTGGGAGCAGGAACTTTATATCCTAATTTTAAAAATGTGTAAAAGTGACTAGCAGAGTACCCAGTACAAATATACTAAACATAAGTTGACTATTAGGTTATAATATACTGCATTTAATTCCATCACAAATCAAAACTTGGTTACCTATACACACAATCATTTTACAGGTCATTTTTAGTTTAATAATTTAATCTAATTGAGTAAATAGTCCATCTATTTTTAATATATTTATTTATTCTATAAATATTTATATATCTATGTATCATCTATCATCTGTATCTATCGGTATCTTTTTTTTAAATTTATATCTTATATCCTGTATTCTATTGTATGAATACCAATTAATTTCATGGATATTCTCACTTTCACATTGATACTAGGTTTACTTTGATGTTGTTAATATGTAAAATATTTCCTCACAGTAATTTTAACACACTGTACTATTTATATTACCCAATTAAAATTCTAGAAAAATGATTGATTACTCCTAATTATAATCCTTAATTGGACAGCATATATAGCCTTTGAATTTTTACACATATTTTTTAAATTGAGCTTATTTTCTGTAGACTATATTTTTCCAGCTTGGTAATCTTACTACATACTTTACTAATTCCACTGTCAACACAATTTATATATGTCCCATCAGGCATCTTCCATCTGAAAGTTCCTGAATCTTCTCCTATTGGTTCAGCTATTGGAAGAATAAGAGCTGTGGATCCTGATTTTGGACAAAATGCGGAAATTGAATACAATATTGTTCCAGGAGATGGGGGAAATTTGTTTGACATCGTCACAGATGAGGATACGCAAGAAGGAGTCATCAAATTGAAAAAGGTACTTAGACAAGTTTTTAGACAGTTGACTACTCACTATGTAATAATTAAGAACAGAAAGACTAGAACCTGAGAATGACAGCAATTTTAACTTTTCTTCAGTTAGCAATATTTCAAATAAAAAAGACCAGTTGACTATCAAGTATTCACTCCTACTGGCACTTTTATTCTGTGATTCAATATGTACGTATTTTTGTTGAAACAATTAGGCTTATTAGTTTGAATAAATCATTAAAAATTCTTACCAGAGTTAAATTTTTTTAAAAAAAAATTTTGTTGTTAGAAATGTAAGTGAAAAAATGTATTTAAAAATAAGATGGCGAAGTAAACTCTAAGGCCACCAGGCTTGGTCTTGCCCATTTAACTTTTCTGAGGATGTAATGATCTAGCTCACACGCTGTGGCGGAGCGTGGACGTCACTGTGGAGGAATCCCGCTGTGGGAATCCCGAGGTGGGCAAGCTCTGCTACTGCAGGACTGAACGAAATGAGAACGATGAACACATTCAAAAACACTGTAGGCAATACTAAGTTCAAGTTTGAAAAACATAAGGAAAAAATAACAAGCAAAGCAGAAGGTGGTGGTGATCTCATGGTCAGAAAAGGCTTCTCTGTTAGAGCGACACGAAGCAGACACATGCAGCCAACAGGAGGTGAGCCATGTGGTGTCTGCAGGATGTGTGACCAGAACGATGGAGCAGAAATTACAAAATCTCTGAGATGGGAGCATTTGGACAAGGAGGCCAGTGGGGCTGGGCACAGTGAATGAAGGTGTCCGTAGCTGGAGATGAAGTAGAGATACTGAGGAAGGCCCATCGTGGAGATCCTTGCAGTGGAAGCCAAGGACCTGAAATAGATCATGATTTGGGAAGCCAATCTTGTGTTTAGACATGACTTACCTTTACTCTGCAAAGCCAGGACACTCTGGCTGTTGTGAGAATAATGACTAAGAGGTAAGAATAGGAACTGATTGGGTAAGAGACCACAGAAATAGTTCAGGAAACCAATGATGGAGATTTTATAAAATGATCTTTGTAGCAATGGAGGTTATGAGAAATTGTGAGATTCTGCCTACATTTTAGAGGAACAGCTAAAACAGATTTTTAAAAAAATTTGAATCATCAGATAAATTATGCCAAGCATTTAAATAGATTTGTTTTAGTGTTGTAATTTATTTTAATCTTTAAATAAGGAAACGGCAAAGACTATCCCTACCTGCTAATCTATTGTCCTGTTGGAAAAGAAAATTGTAATCTACAGACTACATATATTAAATCTTTAAAAAAATAACTCAGACCCTGGCTAGTGTGATTCCATCGGTTGAACACTGTCCTGTGTACCAAAAACCCTCCAGTTCAATTCCCAGTCAAGACACATACCCAGGTTATGGGTGCTTATGGGATGTTTCTTTCTCACATTGATGTTTCCCTCTTTCTCTGTCTCCCTCTCCGTCTCCCTTCCTCTCTCTCTAAAATCAATAAAAACATATTTTTAAAAACTCAGGAGTACATTTTGTAACAAAATTTTCAAATTGCCTATCATCTATCTGCCAACCCACATACTGAGTGCATGTGTGGTGTGCACACACATACAGATAGATATATGTCTTGATTAAACATAGCAGTATAATTTCATTAAAATAAAATAATGAGAAAGTATTCAATTGAATACAATTTATTAAAAATTCAAAATTAATTTACACAACTGCATTTTATTCATTGATGTGCAATTGAGATACAACACTATTTTAGTTGCAGGTGTACAACATAATGATTTAATATTTGTACATATTAGGAAAGTTCACGACAATAAGTCTAGTTAACATCCATCACCAAACATAGTTACAAATATTTTTCTTGTGATGAGAACTTTCAAGATTTACTCTCTTTGCAACTTTCAAATCTGAGCTTGTTTGTTTGTTTGTTTGTTTGTTTTGGTACGTGCCCCTACGCAGGAACCAAACCTGAGACTCTCTGGTCCTCAGGCCAATGCTCCAACCGCTGAACCGAACTGGCCAGGGCTGAGCTTGCTTTTTGTTAAGATCCCACATATGAGTGACACTACACTGTATTTGTTTTTCTCTATCTGAATTATTTCACCTAGTATAATGCCCTGAAGATCCACCCATATTGTCACAAATAGCAAGATTTTATTACTTAATAGCTGAATAATAAATATTATAATGTGTGCATGTATGTATGTGTATATATGAGTGAGTGTCACATTTTCTTTATCAGTTTATCTGCCAATGCACACTTAGGTTGTTTCCATATCTTGGCTATTATAAATAATACTGCAATGAAGATGCAGTGTATATATCTTTTCAAGTTAGTGTTTTTGTTTTCTTTGGATAAATACTCAGAAGTAGAACTGCTGAATCATATGAGAGGTCTATTTTAAATTTTTTTGAGGAAATTCTATTATGTTTTCCATAGCAGTCACACCAATTTACATTCCCACCGATAACCCTTTTCTCCACATCCTCTCCAACCCTTTTTATTTATTTTTATTTTTTATAATAGCCATTCTAACAGGTAGGAGGTGATACCTCATTGTGGTTAATTTGCATTTCCCTGATGGTTAATGACACTGAACATCCTTTCATGTAACTGTTCACTTTGAAGACTGTATGATACAACTATGTATGCATATATTCAGTAAGTTATGAGAAAACTTTATCTTAAACTTATCGTTACGTGTTCTAGAACTAAATTCATAATAATAAATATGTATATAAACATCAACAGGGGTGTTTCAGTCACACAGTAATCTTAAAATTACTTTTTAAAATGTTTTCCTTCTATATATGAACATGTCATTGGAACAAATTTGATGTAAAACCATATTCGTATAGGAATGATATTCTTAAGTCCAAAAATAAACTATTCTACATTTGAAAATGTAGTTGTTTTTTTAAACAACAGTTATTTGGTTAAAATTAGAGCATGAGATCATTTGCTTTCAGAGTTTTCTTTTTTCTAACTCACTAAAAATAAATTAAAATGCTTGAAGTGCTCTGAAGCACACATTCTCATTATTCTTTTATCTCCAATATCCCATCAGTATTTTCCCCTCTCTCTTCTTTCTCTGGGTGGAGAGGAGCTAAGCAGATAAGTGAGAGTCGGGTTTATATGAGCTGAGAAAAATAAAAGGCGGCAATTTTGTAAATTTTATTTTTTAACCAGATCTTGGCTCCAGTTCTGGAGCACTGTAACAGAATGCCATTTCACTGTGTCACTTTGAATTCAGAGTAACATTATGAAAGTTTATAAATCTCACCAAGGCACAGATATTGTTAAAAACAAATAAATTACTCTTAGTCTATACTTATGTCATTGCACTGAAAAAAGTATAAACAAATAAAACATGCTCTATATGTTGTTTAGTATTTTAAAAATAAAGACACAAACAAAACCAGAATAATAAACATTTTTTTTTTTTAATCCTTACCTGAGTCCAGCTGGTGTGGCTTAGTGATTGAGCATCAACCTATGCACCAGGAGGTTGCAGGTTCGATTTCCAGTCAGGGCACATGCCCAGGTTGTGGGCCCAATCCCCAGTGGGGGGCATGCAGAAAGCGGCCAATCAATGTTCTCTCTCATTGACGATTCTCTCTCTCTCTCCTTCTCACTTCCTCTCTCTCTAAAATCAATAGAGGAAAAAAAAAAATCCTTACCTGAGGACTTATTTTTCTATTGATTTTAGAGAGAGAGGAAGGGAAAGAGAGAGCCCAAGGACCTATTTTTCTATTGATTTTAGAAAGAGAGAGGGAGACACAGAGAGAGAGAGAGATTGGTTGCCTCTCGTATGAGCCCCAGCCAGGTACTAAATCTGCAGCCTAGGTATGTGCTCTGACTGGGAATCAAACCACAACCTTATGGTGTATTGGATAATGCTCCAACCAACTTAGCCACCCAGCCAGAGCCAGAATAATAAAACTTTTAACATTTTTATCCCATCTAAAAATTATAAGATGGCTACATTAAATATGAAAGGATAAAGTATTTTAAATTTAGCCATTTTATTAAGTGAAAAGCTAAATGTGTTAGATTTTTAGCCTGTATTTTTTCCTACTGGATAAATGAGCATAAATATATACTTACTGAATATAAAAATAAATATGAAGTTACATGACTTAAAAATGTTCAAAGACTGAAATAAATAAATATTTATAAAATCAGTGTCATTTTCTTGTTAGTGATTCAGAAATTTAGGCAAGTAAGTAGTGAGATGAATACTTAAATTATGCAAAAAGACAAATTAATATCTTGCATAGTTTCTCAAACAGTTCCATATCATTTCTACAAAAATATCTATTGGGAACTAATTAGTAATGATATCCTTTTAAAAATAAGGAATGCTGAAATAATTTTCTATTTATTTTAAAATAAGTAAACATCAAGATAATAAAGATTGTTTTTTAATTCCCCCCCAAAAAAATTTTTACTTTTTAAAAAATAAATAGAAAATTGTTTCAGCATTCTTTAATAAATAGGCTAAGTTTTCAACTGGCCCCACTGGACATTTATATTTTACTTAAGTCCTGTTATTCTTAAATGGCAAGGAAGTACATTCAAACGATTTGGTAGCAGAGCACCATCATGTGGTTAATTTTTGAATAACTCATTAAAAATGAAACCATTTTAAATAACTTTGTATATATAGTCAAATATATACCTGAATTTAAGTTTAAAATACCCTTATTTTTAGCCATTTCGACCTGCAAATTTCAAAGAAAATGTAAGTGGTATTTATTATTTGTTTCTGCAAGCAATATGTTCTTGTTTTTGTAAAGATTTGTTTTCATCTTTTTCTCCCTAACTTTCTCCTACAGTCTCATCAAATTAACCCCCCAAATTGACATAATTGTTGTAGGTTGTCTGCAGCCATGTAGACATTTCGGTGAGTTGCAGTCTTAAAACAGAAAATGTCTCAAGCAGAATTCCTTCTCTTCTCCCCAAAACGCACCTACTTATATTTTCTCCCACCTGGATAAAGACTCC